CAGTATGTGTGATGAAAATGCCATAGTTCCTTTCTTGATAACAGTCACTGACAATGACTAATATTTCTGCTAAATATATAATGCATCTTCCAATTACTTCCATCCTCGAAAGGGACTACTAGTTTTACTCCTAGATTATAAAAACAATCTCTCCCATTATTCCCCAATCAAATATTTTCCCTTCCTAATGCACCCAAAACCATATTTCAGTACTTTTTCAATATCACCCTTCTCCTAATAGGGCCACCATTCTAATAGTACCTCTTCTGTAATGTGACCTGAAATATCTCTCTTCACTACCATCTTGTCTTACATATCTGCTAAATAAAATAAGACATACATTTTTTAGTTATAAATATATACATAATTGTAATAATTGTCAGGATTCTGCAATACAAAGGGGATGTTGATGTTGTGCTTCAGATATACAAAGCATAGATGGAATCCTACTTGAAATAATGCACTCACCTCAGGAAGGATACATGTTGGTTTTGTGATGAAGAACAGTACGGCATAGATTCAACAATACTTCCAAAAAATTTCAGAATGAGATATTGGGATTCAATCATGAAATATACAAAATAAAAGTCAAATGATCATTTTAATCCCTTATTTTAGGTATCAGACTTTTTTTTTTAAAAAATCACCATTTTCTGAATTAAGTTTTAGTTTAAATATAGCTCCACTGTATGGCCAGATCATGCAAGGTATTTTGTGGCAAGTTCCTAAAGTTTGCATTATAAATGTGAACACACAAATTAACAATGGATAAAAGGCAATTTGTACAAATTAGGAGCAGAAATAACTATTTAGCTATTCATGCCTGCCCTGCCTTTCATTAAGATCATGGTCATGGCTGTTTTGTTTACATTTCAAATTCCACATTACCATCTATCCCTGATATCCTCTGATTCCTTGCCTAGAGAAAGACTATATACCTCTGACTTAAAAAATATTTAATGACCCTGCTTTTGCCATCTTCTGACAAAATAATGGGGCAAAAGGCATATAAGTCACCTGGCCTAATGGCCTGTATTTTAGGATCCTAGAAGAGCTACTAAAATAGTGGATGCTTTGGTTGTAATTTTCCAAAAATAGTTGGATTTTGGAGAAGCATCAGAGGATTGGAAAACTCCTAACATGACATCTCTATTCATAAAGGGAGGGAGGCAAAAAAACAAGTAACTATAGGCTGATTAGCCTAAAATCTATGATTGGAAAAGTATTAGAATCAATTATTAAGGAAATAATGGCAGCACATTTGGAAAATCATACTCTAATCAAGCAGAGTTCACATGGCTTTATGAAAGGAAAATCGTGCCTGGTAAATTTTTTAGAATTTTTCACGGAAGTTTTAACCAGAGTGGATAGAGGGGAGCCAGTAGATGTGTTGTATTTGGATTTCCTGAAGGTGTTTGACAAGGTACCGACAAAAAATTGTCATAAGAGTTCATGGTGCTGGAGATAGTGTATATTGGCATGGATAAAGAATTAACTTGGTGTAGGAAACAGTGAGTGGGGATAAGGGTTTCTTTTCACATTGGTGACCTGTGACCAGTATGATTCCACAGTGACCAACCACAATAACCCCCTACCTGCATCCATCTATCTCCATCTCACCCACCCTCCCTTAAGCCCCACCTCCCTCCCTCTATTTATTTCTGGGCTCCCCTCCCCCTCCCCAGTCCTAATGAAGGGTTTCAGCCTGAAACGTTGATTTCCCTGCTCCTCGGAATACTGTCTGATCTGCTGTGCTTTTCCAGCTCCACATTTATTGACTCTAGCTTCCAGCACCTGCAGTCCTTACGTCTCCAATACCATGACCTACTGTTTTCTCTAAGTCACATGCCAGCCTAACTTGGAAACATATTGCCATTTTTCCATTAACATAATTACACTTAAAGTACTTTATTGGCCATTCAGAGCTTGGAGGTATCCCGTGATCATGAGAAGTGTGACATAAATACGAGTTTTATTTTCCTTATCTTTTTTCTGTAAAATCCTGAATTTTCTTCCCACATACCACTTGGACTTCAGTGGTGCAAGAAGGTGTCTCACCATTGATAGCTCAAGTGCAGCTAAGGTTGGGAAATAAATACTGGCTTTGTCAGCGATGCCCACGTCCCATGAATGAATGATAAAATAAAATCAGATGTTAAGTTGCACTCAACAGAATTCCTAGCTCCTGATCTGATCTATGTGGCTGCTTCAGTTAAGTTTCTGGTATGTTGAGCTCCAGCATGTGGATGGTGGGCAATTGAGTGATCATGGATGCCGAGGGATAATGGTTAGATTTTCTTTTGATGCATGTGGGTCTTTGCGTGTAAAGAATGTTACTTTCCATTTATGAGCCCAAGCCTGTATTTTGTCCAGATCTTATTTCTCATGGGCATAGTTGGTTTAATTATAATTAGTCGTGAATGGATATGTATGTGCATGAGTTTGTGCAGGCTCCTGCTCCTGCTCCTTCACCCACCAGTGGTGCAGATTCACCAGCCACCGGAACCAGACTTCCTTGTCTGGCATGTAAACCAGCAGCTTCTCGGATGCCTGCCTCTGCTGTGATGATGCAACACCGCAATAACCAGGTTGCAGTCACTTGGAAATCAGCATCAGTGAGACACTGACACCCTGGGTTACAGCAGATGGTGATTGTATTTTAAATCGTAATATTTTCAGACATGTTATGACATACCTTTACAGCAGTTGGGACTTGAAACGAGGTCTTCTGGCTGAAAGGCAGAGACACTAGCACTCTGCATCCTTTGGAAACCCTACCTCATGATCAACCACTCCCCATTGGGAAATTGATACCCAGTCTCCTGTGTGTCAGGCAGGGCACAATACTAAGAAAGTGCCTCCTTTTCTTTCAAACCCAACACTTTTTTTTTTAGGTCATAACATGTTACGACACAACTTGGTAGCATGGGAGCTTGAACCCAGGCCTTCTGGCCCAGAGCTAGGGACACTACTACTGCTTCAGAAAAGCCCCCACAAAATCATCTTCCTTTGTGCTGAGTATGCTTCTAATGGTAATTGAATATATTTTGTGTTTAATTATATTCAGGCTGAGAGCATTATTGGGGTATTGTTTGAAGAAGTATGAAGAGATATTTATTGAGAATGTGGTTATGATTGAGTTAGGAGGTGTATTTATGTGACCTTTCGCTCTAAATCAATGTAAAACTGAGTGAAAATTAGCGCTAGTACTACCCTTTACCAGTGCTATCCTATCCAGTTGAGAGTTTTCTCTAATACCCATTGCTTAAATTTTACTTGTTCTTTAGTGTCATACTTGGTCAAACATGAGTGTATGTTCAGGGCAATCATTTTTGCCTCACCTCTGGAATTCAACACTTTTGTGCGTGTTTGGACCAAGGCTGTAATGAGAGCAAAAGCCAAATATTCAAGTGGTGTTTTGGTGAATGTGTAATTGATGTGTCAGTGCCACTTAATAACACAGTCAATGATAACTTCTGTTGATTTGCTGATGTTTAGGAGTAGACTGATTACATAGTAATTGTCCTCATTGAATTTAAGCTGTTCTTTGTGAACAGCGTTAACCTGGACAAATTTCTGCTTTTTGGGCAGAAACCAGTAATACGAAAACAGTATGGCTATACCTTCAACAACAAAAACAGAGTGCTGGAGAAGCACAGCTGATCTGGTAGCATTTGTAGGGAGAAAACAATTAGCGTTTCGAGTCCAGTGACCTTCATCAGAACTGAAGATAGCTGGGGAAGGGTGGTATGTATTCTGGTGACAGGGTGTGGTTTAGGTCGGAGGGGAGGGGAGGGGAGGGGAGGGGGAGAGAGAACGTGGAGACAGTGCCCAGAGATAGAATGCAAGCGAGAGAAGGGATAGGCAAACAGATTTTGTTGACAAGCCAGAAAAGAGACGACAGCTAGGTGGGGTGCTAGCAAGAAGTTTAAATATTTGAAAATGGGTTGACTGTGCTGGGAGCAACCATACAGGACAGGACCTAGAGGTCTAGAGGAGTGGAACAAACAAAGGAGAGTGTACTCGTGTTCTGAAATTGTTAAACTTAATATTAAGACTGTAAGGTGGCTAGGAACAGTGTGAGGTCTTGTTCCTCCAACTTGCATTGAGCCTTGTTGGAACACTGCAGTAGGCCTGAGACAGAAATGTTGGCATGGGAACACGAGTCTGCTGAAATGGCAGGCAACTGGAAGCTCGGAACCGTTTTTATGGACACCGTGTAGGTGTATGGCAAATCGGTTAGCCAGTCTGCGTTTAGTCTCCGCAGTGTTCCTGCACTGGTTGAGGTTACCATGAAGGACTCTCCTTCTCAACCTCTGCCTTCAAAAGTCAGATGTAGGACTGAGGTCAGGAGGAACTTCTTCACCCAAAGGGTTGTGAATCTGTGGAATTCCCTGCCCAGTGAAGTGGTTGAAGCTACCTCGCTGAATGTTTTTAAGGCAAGGCTAGATTAAATTTTTGAATAGTAAAGGAATTAATGGTTATGGTGAGTGGGCAGGTAAGTGGAGCTGAGTCTCAAAGATCAGCCATGATCTTATTAAATGGCGGGGCAGGCTCGAGAGGCCAGATGGCCTATTCCTGCTCCTAGTTCTTATGTTCTTATGTTATGTTATGTTCACCTCGGGTGTGGTGATGCTCTGGTTAAACCACCACCAGTCATCTCTCTCCAATAAGAGAGCACCTGTATGGTATGTTAGGGCTATGGCTTAGTCTCCCTAGTGTACAGCGAATACATGGATAGGATTGAATGAAGTGTAGATAAATTGCTGCTTCACTAGAAAGGTGTGTCTGGGCCTTGGATAACAAGGAAGGAGGGGGAAATTGAACCAGTGATGTGCCTTCTGTGATTGCATGGGAAGGTGCTGTGGGGGTGTGGAGAAGTGTTGAGTGTGGGACGAGTAGATCAGGGTATCCCAGAGGGAGTGCTACCTGTGAAGTGCTGACACGGGAGGCAAGGGGAATATATTTCTGGTGGTTATCACCCGTTGGAGGTGGTAGAAATGGTGGCTTACGATCCTTTGGATGCAGAGGCTGGAGGGGTGAACAGTGAGGACCAGGGATACCTTATCGTTGTTGTGGGACAGGAGAGAAACGGTGAGGGCAGAAGTGTGGGAAATAGGTTGGACATGGCTGAGGGCTCTGTCAGTCAAGTTTGCTGGGAATCCTTTGTTGAGGAAAAAGGACACTGATTTAAGGTAAAAAGCAAAATAACCACTGGCAAGGTGACCAAAACTACTTTTAGATCAAGTGGCTAGGATGGAATATACTACCAAACAATGTGATGGAGACAAAATCAACCGTGCCTCTCAAAAGTGAAGAGAGAACATTTGCAGGGCTACAGGGAAATGGCAGTTAAGCAGAATTTACTGTGTGGCACTTTCAGAGAACTGGCACAGAGAAGCCAGGCTGAAGGACCATCTTCTGTGCTGTAATCATTCCAGAGTTCTATAATTGAAAATCTCCAAAGCTGACTACTGGGATATTAATCAAGATACTTTTTCTGTTCTCTTAAAATATGTTGATTTTATTTAGTAACATTTCCCTCTTGATAGTTGAAGTGTTGTTTCATAACAAATGCTTTAACTTTTTTCTCTAGCGTGCACTACTAGAACAGAAGCAGAGGAAGAAACGACAGGAGCTTCTCATGGTCCAACCTAACCTTGAGGCCAAGCCACGAAGGTTGAAGCCAAAAAGATGCGAGGAACAATCGCCATTAGTGGAATCCCGCAACAATATAACCAGCAACAGAATACTAGATGGTATGTAAAATGTGTTTTATGTAACTACTGCTTCAGAGATGAAGAAGCTACTTGTTCACTGGCTAACATGTGTCCATTCAGGTTGTATTTCCTGTTCTGTGAAGTGCAGGAAATAGGTGCGTTATACAATTTAACGCGTGGAGTAGCACAATCACACAATTTACAAGCTGACCAACTGGAAAGATGTTATTTGCACACGAGTATGTGTGTCCACCTTAAAGTTTGCAGGACAGAAATTGATTTGGTGTGTTGGTTGGAAATTGATGTTTTTCAACAACCTCCGTGATTTTTGGCAAGTAGCAAAGTCATAACTAAAAAGTGAAAGTTGAACTATTGTTAAATGTTTTGATTTGCTAAAAAAACTAACATTATCTGATTTAATTTTTATCAGAATCTGAGATTTGATTGGAGATTACTGATAATCACTGTATCTATTTGAAAAAATTCCCAAGGTGACAAAGGTGATCGATGAGGGTAGAGCAGTAGATGTTGTCTATATGGATTTTAGTAAGGCTATCGACAAGGTAGACTCATCCAGAAGATTAAGATGCATGTGATGCATGGGATCCATGGTGACTTGGCCATGTGGATTCAGAACTGGCTTGCCCTATAGGAGGCAAAGGATAATGGTGGAAGGATATTTTACTGGCTGGAGTTCTGTGCCTAGTGGTGTTCTGCAGGGAACAGTACTGGGACCTCTGCTGTTTGTAATATGTATAAATGACTTGGATAAAAATGTAGATAATTGGGTTAGTAAATTTGCAGATAATACAAAGCGTTGTGGAGTTGTGGATACTATAGAAAGTTGTCAAAGGATACAGTGGGATATAGATCAGTTGTGGGATTGGGTGATAGTTGGAGTCATACCTAACACATAGGAGGATCGTCATGGTGGTTGGAGGTCAGTCATCTCAGCTCCAAGACATCTCTGCAGGACTTCTTCAAGGTAGTATCCTAGGCCCAACCATCTTCAGCTGCTTCATCAATGATCTTCCCTCCATCGTAAGGTCAGAAGTGGGGATGTTCGCTGATGATTGCGCAATATTCAGCACCATTCACAACTCCTCAGATGCTGAAGCAGGCCATGTTCAAATGCAACAAGATCTGGACAATGTCCAGGTGTGGGATGGCAAGTGGCAAGTAACATTTGCACCAACAAATGCCAGGCTGTGACCATCTCTGATAAGAGATAATTTAACCACCGCCCCCTTGACATTCAATAGTGTTACCACCACTGAATCCCCCACTATCAACATCCTGGGGGTTATCATTGACCAGAAACTCAATCGGACTCATCACATAAATGCAGAGGCTACAAGAGCAGATCAGAAGCTAGGAATACTGTGGCAAGTAACACACCTCCTGACACCATATATAAGGCATAAGTCAGGATTGTGCTGGAATACTCCCCACTTGCCTGGATGAGTGCAGCCCCAACAACACTCAAGAAGCTTGACACCATCCCAGACAAAGTAGCCCACTTGATTGGCACTACTTCCACAAGCATCTACTCCATCCACCACTGATGCTCCGTAGCAACAGCGTGTGCTATCTACAAGATGCTGAGTGGAGTCTTGATAGAAGTCTATAAAATTATGAGATGCATTGATAGGATTGACAGTCAAAATCTTTTTCCGAGAGTTGAACTGTCTAATACCAGGATGCATGCATTTAAGGTGAGAGGGGGAAAGTTCAAGGGAGATGTGAGGGGCAAGTTTTTTTTTTTTACACAGAGTGATAGGAGTCTGGAACATGCTGCTAGAAGTGGTGGTGGGGGCAGATACGATCGGGACATTCAAGGGACTTTTAGATAAGCACATGAATATGCAAGGAATGGAGCAATATGGACAAAAGGGCAGGCAGAAGGGATTAGTTAAGTTTGGCATGTTTAGCACAACATAGTGGGTTGAAGGGCCTGTGCCTGTGCTATACAATTGTGTTCTATGTCTCACTTGATAGCTGTTTCTAGGATACATCTTGACTACTGCCAATTTTTGCAAAGTTGACAAGTTATTTGAGGTTGTTAAACTCTTGTTCTTTTTTTTGGATTGTTGGTCATTTTATTGTCACTGACTTTGTCTGGGAATAGTCTGTAAATTTGAATTTTTCTTCAGGAAAAGACGAATGGTTTGTTAATACAGTGGCAGTGGAGTAAGAGTCATAATGTATTACGTGAAAGATTATTAGTATAATAATTCTGGTTGTAATGCAATATCTAGTTTGACAAAAATGTAACCTCCTATTCAATTCTGTAGATTGATTCAGTACTAGGTTTAGCAAGCTGGTTGTGTAGTTTTATATAAATTACCGATCACTTGTTTACCTCTTTGTGATGAAGAATGACATGTATTTATGTCACCATTTTTACAGCTCTGGAATGTCGCAAAGCACTGTGTAACCAATTAAGTATTTTTGAATTGCAGTCATTGTTGTATTGTAGGGAAGGCAACAGCCAATATCCATAAAAGATCCTCCCACAGACACCATTGTAATAATGACCAGACAATCTGTTTATTTTTCTATTAAATCAAATACTGACAAATATCAGCCAGGGCACCATGGAGAATTCCCTTGTTATTCTTTGAAATATTGCTGTAGGATCTTCTTACATCCATCTGAAAGAGCAGACAAAGTTTGACATCTCAGCCAAACGATGGCACTTCCTACACTGTAATATTCCCACAATACTTCCTAGACTGTCACCTGTGATTTTTGTTCATATCTGGTAATGTGTTCACAAGCTTATGACTCAAAGTCAAGATTACTACAAACTGAGACACAGTTGAGATGTGCAAATAGAATGAAACATGAGTGTCTTTGCTGGAACAAGACCTTGCTAGCTGCATCACAGGTTGAATAGATGAGCATTATGAGCTGTATTATGGTCAACACTGGAGTGGGCATTTTGAGACTAAGGTGGGAGGATATTGATGAATTAAAATGCAATGTGATGGAATTGTATTTTTTCTGTCTGAGTAATATGTATTTAGGATAATTTACAGTTCATTTTTTACTTTAGCAGTTGTTGCAGTATCAAATGCACAAACACATTTAGTCAATAGTATTGAAGATGAGACTTAAATGGGAACTCGATGTGTTTGTGGTCTGTACCTTAAGTCCTTCCGAAGTTCCCGTGTATGTATAGAACTGCCTGTTTTAGATTTCAGTGTAGATGCAGAGAGATGTAATTGGATGGTAGAAATCACAATGTCAATAACAGTAACTCTCTGTTACTGCCCTTCAGAACTCAAATAATTTCTACTTTTTGATAAACATGATGAAATGTTTATACAATTATGAAGAGTGCTGATGTGAACTGCCTGCAGATACCTCTGTAACCATTCCACTGTTGAACTATATAACATACATGGGCAATAGTTAATAAGCATTTGTGTAGAATGTACAGATCCTGCTTTGCTTAACATCATGTGCTGTTTCTCAACTTGCGCTGTAAGATAAGAGGCAATATGGGATCTATAGATCATGATGTTTCTGACAATGGTCCCTCTGGTCAAGAAAATGAATAAAGCATATGTCAGGTGTAAGTAGCTGAGATCAAGTGAATTCCTTGAGTATAGAGGGTATAAAAGTACCCTTAAGAGGGAAGTCAGGAGGGCAGAAAGTGGACATGAGATAGCTTTGGAGACAGGGTGGTGGTAGGGGATGGTTGTTCAGACTGGAGGCCTGTGACCAGCGGTGTGCTGCAAGGATCAATACTGGGTCCGCTATTGTTTGACATTTATATAAACGATTTAGATGAGAATATAGGAGACGTGGTTAGTAAGTTTGTAGATGACACCAAAATCGGTGGTATAATGGTCAGTGAAGAAGGTTATCTAAGAGTACAACAGGATCTTGATCAAGTGGGCTGAGGAGTGGCAGATGGAGTTTAATGCAGATAAATGCAAGATGTTACATTTTGGTAAGATGAACAAGGGTAGCACTTAGATAGTCAATGGTAGGCCTCTGGAGAGTATTATCAAACAGGGAGACCTAAGGGTGCCAGTTCATAGTTCCTTAAAAGTGGCATCACAGGTAGATAGGGTGGTGAAGAAGACATTTGGCACTTCATTGGTTACAGCATTGAGGACAGGAGTTGGGACATCATGTTACAGCTGTACAAGACGTCGGTAATGCCATATTTGGAGTACTGTGTACAATTCTGGTTGCCCTGCTATAGGAAGGATGTTATTAAACCGGAATGGGTGCAAAAAGATTTACAAGAATGTTACCAAGACTAGAAGGTTTTAGTTATAACAATAGGCTGTGACTTCTTTTCCTAGCTGAGGAATGACCTTATTAGAGGTTTATAAAGTCATGAGGGGCATAGCTAAGGTAATAGCCAAGGTCTTTTCCGCAGGATAGGGGAGCGCAAAACTAGAGGGCATAGGTTTAAGGTGAGGGGGAGAGATTTAAAACTGACTTGAGGGGGAACGTTTTCACATAGAGGTTGGTATGCATACAGAATGAGCTGGTAGAGGCTGGTACAATTACAATATTTAAAGCCATTTGGATAGACACATGGATTGGAAAGGTTTAGAGGGATATGGGCCAAACAGGCAAATGGGATTAGTTCAGTTTAGGAAACTTGGTCGGCATGGATGAGTTAGGCTGAAGGCCTGTTCCAAGCTGTAAGACTCTATGACTCTAATTTTAGCTTTCCTGATACTTTGGCGTTTCAAACCAAGGTCTGATGCTGTAAAGAATAATGTTTCTGAAGATGAATTTCACGAGATGATTTCAAGAATATAATCACATTATGATGCTTTTAGCTAGTATTATGCCAAATAAAGAAGTGCTTTGTTTGGTGATATGATATTGAGAAAAATAGAAAGTAACTTCTACCTAAAATTGTCTTTCCTATCTTGTACATAGTGGATTTTCTGTAGAGACATAAATTAGGTTAAACATTGTATATTGCCGCTTACTATTGAGAAGCGTGGTCCCACACAGGACAATAGTTGCTTAAAATCTGTATGAGAGTAATTACAGTTTTAGGA